TATATATATATATATATATATATATATATATATATATATATTAACGAGGTCCTTCTATAATAGTCATGGCAAAAATAATATTTCGTGATAGCAATCAAGATTAATTTTTTCAAAGTTATAATTTTTTATAATATATTTATTTTTTTAATAAAAGTATATTTCTACCTATAACAATAGTGGACATCTACTGCACTTACACTTTTTCTAAATTTCTCTTGAAAATTATGCACTATATATTAAGAAAAAGTAATTATTTAATACAAATATATTATTATTGAAAAATTATATTAAATTCTATCCTACACTTTTAAGATAACACTTATTTTAAAGGCATAATACACATTAACATGACTCTTAATTTGGCTTTAGCGAACAACTATGCTTTCCAATTTTGTGTGTGCACAAGTAGACATTTAAACTTGTATATAATTGGACAAGTAGACACACGTATCTTATATGACATAATACATGTATGATATCACGTAAGAGATAAAATTATCATGTAGGATGTCATGTAAGATGAATATGTCTATTTATTAAATTTATACACGTTTAAGTGAAGACCATAGTTATTAGCTGACGCTGAATTTAGGGTTCATGTTTATGTATTATGCCTATTTTAAAATTTTTTCTTCTGCATGTTAGGGGAAGTGATATTAATTTTAGGATGAAAAACAGTGTGATTGATGTTTTAGAAAATTTTGTGAAATGATGTAGGGGCCGATTTCAATTGGTAACCTTTACCCAAAAATATTGCTTCGTAAATTGTAATAAATGCAAAAGATGCTATTTGTTAAATATTCCCAGAGAGGTAGGTGGGTTTCTGACCAATATATAAACCATTGTCTAATGCTTTGTTCATTAAATTTAATAATTACATGACTCCACATATTTTTTTACTTTAATAGAATTCATAATTTTTTACCATATGTTGTTCTACTATAATAAGTAATGTAGTGTTAAAAGTATTTAACAACAAGGGGGTGAATGTAATTACCATTCTGATTATGCGTTCGTCAGAAGTTTAGCAATTTTTGTATGAACTCATATGAAGTTTAGGTGAATAATATAATATTTGATAATCGAAATTTAATAATATAACACGTGATTCAATTATTAGATCTTCTCGAAATAAGTTTAAATATAAAACATTAATAGTAAATAATGTTAAAATATTGTTCAGAAGGAAAAAAGACATTTTTTAAAAACTAACTAAAAAGAAAAATACGGCAACACATAATTGAAAATTTTGGTTCAGTAATTTTAATTTTTGATTTTTAATGTGTTGTCATTTATCATATATAATTAATTTTATATGATTCACTATTTTAAAATTTGATTATTATATTTTGTGATACGGTAAATAATTAAGTCGACTTCAACTTATACTTATTTAATAGGGGATTATAACTTTGTTTTTTAAAAAAAAATTAATTATTATATTATAAATACCTTACACATTTAGAATATTCAAAAGTAAGTACAAATAATATTCTTTGTAATTAATCATTTTAAAAGAATATTTTTAATCAAGATAATTTCAATTTTAAATAATTAACTTTGTCTAATATTATTATTCTATTTTTTATTAGCATGTATACTGATATATATTCTTTTATATATATATATATATATAACTATATATTCAAATATAATTTACGATAATTTAATATCAAAAAATATAACTTTGATATGATATTCGATTATCTTCCATGCTATTCATCCTCCTAATTACAAGTAAATTATGTAGCTAATATCCATGGTGATCCTAAAGTCTAGGACATCTAATCTAAGAAGACTAAAAAAACAAGTACAAAAACACTTAAATAGTATCATTTACTACTTTTCTCATTTCATTAATTAAATTAAATTCTGTTATCTATCATTTCATTAATTAGAGGAGCATGTTTGACAAATGATGGTTGAACAAAAAAATATATTCCCTCCCTTTCTTTTTTTTAATGGTCACAACTTCCTTTTTTTTAATCAAATAACATAATATAAATTTTGGTCAATATTTTTTTAAAAAAAGATTCATTATATTAATTCGAAAAGTTATAATATTTTTCATACCGATTAGGATATTAACTTAATGTAATTTAATTTGATATTGAATATTAATTAAATTGACTTTTAAAAAAAGTTAATATTTTGAATCCTTCCGTATAATTGAAAAATATTAGAGTAATATAGTCTACTCTAACTTTGAATATTAATTAAATTGACTCTAAAAAAGTTTGACGCGATAACTATTTTGAATCTTTCTGTATAACTGAAAAATATTAAAATAATATAATCTATTTTAACTTTGAATATTAATTAAATTGACTCAAGAAAAATTTGACGCACCACTATTTTGGATCCTTCTATATAATTGAGAAATATTAAAGTAATATGGTCTCTTTTAACTTTAAATATTAATTAATTTGACTCTAAAAAAGTTTGACGCAACAACTATTTTAGATATTTTTATATAATTGAACAATATTAAAGTAATATAATCTACTCTAACTTTAAATGTTAATTAAATTAACTCTAAAAATAGTTTGACGCGACAACTATTTTGGAACGGAGCGTGTATAATACAAATAAATAAAAGAAAGAGTCAAAAGTTCCCAAGTATAATTTGTATAAGGTTGCATTTTTCTTAGCATGTCTTTCACAAAACCAACTCACCCTTTTGACTTTTTAGTTTGTGACTACCAATTTTTAACATTTTATTTTTAATCAAACCTTGACCTAATTGTTGACACAGACTAATCAGTAGTACAACATTATACTATAAAACATAACAACAAAAAAAAGAAGAAGAACTTTTGAAAAGTAAAATATAAAAAGGAGAAAACCCCAAAGTCCCTTCAACTGAAAAACTGATCTCCTTTTTCACTTCACACAGCCCATGCCCCCTTCACGCTGTTTTTAATCAAAAGTTTCGAGTTTTCGATACGAAAAGTGAATACTCACCCACACCCACTCCATAAACCCAATATATTAGAGAGGATTTGTAATAAATGCTAGCAAAAAATCTAGCTATTTTCATCTGCCTCTGTTTTTAGTGACATTGAATATACAACAAAAATGACTGGTTAAACTTACTTCAGTGTTTATTATGGGATGTGTATTTGGAAAGATTGGTAGTGACGGGAGGACACAGAATTCTAACAATCGGAATACTTCCGACGGTGGTGTTGGAGCTTCAGGGGATGAGGTGAAGATCACTCAACCTCCACCGCTGCCGGTGGAGGTAGAAGGACCAAATCGTACAGAGTCGGTGTCTGAGTATTACAGTTTCAGAACATTGGGAAATTCTTTTGCAACAAATCAGCAAGGGTGGCCGTCGTGGCTGGTTGCTGTTGCTGGTGATGCTATAAAAGATTGGACTCCTCGCCGAGCGGATACTTTCCAGAAAATTGAAAAGGTAATCATTAATGCCTCCTATATGTATAACTGTTTTAGCGCAATGTACTATGTTTTCATGGGATACAAAGTAATTATGTGTCAATTGTGTTGCATTAATGAATGCTTAGATACAAAGTAAGGAATGCACAATTTTTAGGGCCTAGGGGTGGATTTCAACTTTCAAGGAATTGGTACAATAGGCTTTGGTAGTTGTACTTTTGTTGTTCAATTTGCTTGTTTATGTGTGAATGCAGATTGGGCAAGGAACGTATAGCAATGTATATAAAGCAAAGGATTTGATAACAGGGAAGATTGTTGCATTGAAGAAAGTTAGGTTTGATACAATGGAGCCAGAGAGTGTGAAGTTCATGGCAAGAGAAATACTTGTTTTGAAAAAACTGGACCATCCCAATGTCATCAAACTTGAAGGTTTGGTGACTTCGAGAATGTCGTCTAGTTTGTACCTTGTTTTCGAGTACATGGAGCATGATCTGGCTGGTCTGGCTGCTGTTCAAAAGGTCAAATTTAGTGAATCGCAGGTATTACTAATGTCTCTTTTTACCTTCAGAAGAGGAGGTTGGTTGATGTACTTTTAACTTGATATATTCACTTGTGTGTTTGTATGCTTTCTTGGTGTTATCTTGGTTTTTGTCTAATGTATAGGTCAGACTTGATAGTTAGTTTCCCCAAGCATAGTGTGCTTATCTGAGTACTATTCTTCGAAATTACCTTTTTGCTTTGTTTTGTTATTTTGTTTGTGTAATTTGGCTTTCCTTTCGTTATGGAATCTGGTCTATCTGCTCTAATTATGTAGTGTCATTTGTCTTCTATCTTTCATTCTTGTGCTTTCTGATGTTACTGTCTTTTCGTAAGGCCATTGGGCCCGATCATGGTAGTTTGGGAATCCAATGCTGAGCTAGTTACAGATGTTGTATTTTAGTTGTGCCTTTGAGTGAAATAGTTGTAGCTTAGATGTATCGAAAATTCCCATCATTTCACTCAGCAAAGGGATATTACCTCACAAAATAAAAAATTATGATCTTCCTGTAAAAATTTCGTTCGAATTGATAGTTCTGTTCAAGTAGAATTATATTCAGAAAATATATTGAGTTTGCACAGTTTCATATATTGAAAAGGCATATGGATATTTCCTTTACATGCTCTTTTTAATCTCCTTTAAAGGCATTTATATTGGGTATGTTTTATTTGAAATATTACTCTTGATTCCCTTCCGTAGGTCAGTTGATAGAGTATATGAGAAAAAATAATGCATGGATTAGCATCGTGTTTTATTAATATCTTGTTTGGTCAGTTATACACTTTGCTGTATTGAGGTGTGGATTACTAATACCATGGATATCCATGGATTAGTAATACAAAGAGTTCCAACACATGCATAAGATTGATCAATGACATAACTACCCCTCAAATCCCTCTCAAGACATTTTCCATTAACCAAAGCTAAAGAGTTAGGAGGGTATTTTTGTAAACATATTATTTTTTTATAGAAGTTATGCCATGCATCTTATTTTTAGTATACCAAACCAAATACTGCACAAGAAATAATCTTAGCACAATAATGCATGCATTACTAATGCACTCTATTCAACATTTTTCTTATACAACCTACCAAACGACCCTTAGTTGTAGTATTACATTGTAGTTTATTTTCATTTGAGTTTAGTTACTGTATGTTGTTTCTTGTACTTCGGTTATCGTATTTGTTGTTGTGATTACTGTTTTTTCCTTGAGCTAAGGGTCTATCAAAAACAACCTCTCTACCTCCTAATATGTGGTAAGGCTCTACCCTCCCCAGACCCCGCTTTGTGGAAATGTTTCACTGCTTCAAGACCAAAAAACTGAGAAATGCGGAGAGTATGATCTAAACAGGATTTTTAGCCATACCATTTGCCTAGCAGATACTTCAAGTAAAAGATACAAACAACATTTTGTCAACTAGTTTGGGATTGACACACAGTAGTTGTATTAACTTTTTAACGAGGGTAAAGGATTGGTATGGGCCAACAAAACCATGTAACAGTACTTATCACAAGTGGCATTCCACAAGATTGTGTCCTCTTCACCCTCCAACACACCTCATCTTCACCTCACCCCCACCCACATAACCCCTCTGCCCATCACCCCACCCCCACCCTCACCTCCCATAGTATTTGTCTTAAATTATATACAAATACTTTAAGGGATAATAATTTTTGCTTACGTACGGTAAACAAGAAAATAAGTAAGAAGCCCACTTATTTTCTTAACAAACATTTTCCTTCATACTGAACAGCAAACACACCCTACACGAATAACAGAATTGATAGCTAATCAATTATCTGTGGTCATGCAATTTTGCCCTATTTATTCAACATATACCTGAATGAATTGGCAGGTACTAATTACTAGCTGAGTTGTCTAGTTTATATCTTATTGCAGGTAAAGTGCTACATGAAACAGTTACTCTCTGGTCTAGAGCATTGTCACAATAATGGAGTCCTACACCGTGATGTAAAAGGTTCCAATTTGCTGATTGATAATGAAGGAATTCTGAAAATAGCTGATTTTGGATTAGCTTCATTTTATGATCCTGAACACCAGCAACCTATGACTAGTCGTGTTGTGACTCTCTGGTACCGGCCACCTGAACTTCTGCTTGGAGCTACTAATTACGGTGTTGGTGTTGACCTGTGGAGTGCCGGATGCATTTTGGCTGAGTTACTCGCAAGGAAGCCAATATTTCCAGGGAGAACGGAGGTGCTTTACTCTTTGTGCTACATTTGATATAAAATGCCTTCTTATTTTCTAGAAAATCAGATATTGATTACATTCTTGGTTTCCCAAACTAATAATCTGACTTTCAAGCCACATTGCTGATTCTTTTTGTTAGTTAATTATTTGTGTTTGTCCTTGAGGCATAGAGGTCAAGTAAATTGACTGACTTGGACTCTCTTTGGCTGCTTACTGCATAGGTTGAGCAACTCCATAAAATATTTAGGTTGTGTGGCTCTCCATCCGAGGAGTATTGGAAGAAATTCAAATTACCAAATGCTACTCTGTTTAAACCACAACAACCTTATAAACACTGCATTGACGAGACATTCAAGGATTTTCCACCCTCTTCACATCCTATGATTGCAACACTTCTTGCTATCGATCCCGATGAAAGAGGCACAGCCACTGCAGCTTTGAACAGTGAAGTAAGTCATCTGATCATTTGAATATTTCCTGAAAATGAAATCAATGCTGTTAAACTTTAGAGGTTGCTTAGTTGGTATGTGATTCCCTGTTTCGCTGTTAATATGTCTATTATTTCGGCATTTCTTTAGTTTCTGCAGAGTGGAAGTCGTGTAACTCCTCCTATGTAGTTCTTTCTTTGGTTGCTTTCTAGAAGATACCTGTTATCTAGATTCTAGGCTCTTTCTTTTGCTGAGAACCTAGATGCTCATAAATGATCCTTTATCCTTCTTTTGTATCCTTGTAGCTCCTCTTTTTCTTTCACTTTTTGCATCAAGATTCTTATGCTTGTAACGTGTCTTCTTGTTGTCTATACTGAGGGTACACTGACTGTCTGCATTTCTTCAATGAAATACTTTGGGAATCTTCCGAAATGTATTATGAGCCTGCCCTTGGTAGAATTGGGTGTGTTTAAATGCTTTATTACTGGATAACAAGAAATGTCAAAAGTGTTGCTTCACTTGTAATCTTTTATACTGCTCTGCTCAGTATTCAAGAATTCCTGATGATATAATGGCTGATGATTGGAAAATGTCTTACTGGATACATAGTTAATTGCGAACAGCATAGCGACTCTCTAGAACTTTTCCATTCATGATACACTGTTCAATTTTTTATGAGAATTAACAGTTGTACAATTTGTCTTCCTAGTCTCTTTGCTCTTTTACGGGGATCTTTCACCACTGTCCCTAAAAATTCCCCTCAGGAACCTCTCTCCTCCAACCTGCTGTGACTCACATGTGCTTAGATCTTACGTCGTCCGAGGCCTTCGCTGTATTTTATTTCTGATATGAGTACTTGTAATGTACAGTTCCTTACAACTGAACCATATCCTTGCGAGCCTTCAAGTTTGCCAAAATATCCTCCTAGCAAGGAAATGGATGTCAAACTAAGAGATGAAGCTGCCAGGAGGTATGTCTAAATGATGTTGAAATTATTTTACCATGGCTTGCATCTACTGAGACCTATTTTCCTTTTAGGCAAAGTGGTTTGCATGGAAAAGTTCACACTGGTGATGGTGTCAAGAAAGTGAGACGTGAGAGAGTTAGTCGTGCAATTCCAGCTCCGGAGGCTAATGCAGAGCTCCAACCGAACCTCGATGTAAGTGAGACAAATTATGTTGTCTTTGTTGTCCAGCTTTTGTCCCAGTAAAATGCAGTGGTAATTTATCGAGTCTTAATTAGGTTTCTTAGCCACTTGTAACCAGTTCAGAACCAAGGGGTGTGTACAGGCAGAGAGTTGAAATCCTTTTAGAGTGTATTTTAGTGCCATATAACTTTTCGTAAAATTATCCCTTTTCTCCTTATTCTGCACGTTTTCCTCTCTATAATGCCTTGAAAGTTGCTCATTCTATATTAGACATATGGGGCTAACAAAGACGTCAAGCAAAAGGTATGTGTTATCTGTTGTGGTGTGTTTGTTGAAATTTTAAACCCTGATATGAAGATTGTTGGCATCACCTTTTTTCTCAGTAAAACACTTTGCTTTGCATAGATGGTATATAGAGCCAAATAACTCTAGGACTAAGGATTGCTGGACCTAATATCAACTCATTTCCCTTCAAGCTGGCTCCCTTTGTCACTTGCTACTCTTTTCTGTCAATTTTTTTTTCTTTTTCTTTGCATCCTTGTACTCATCCCACTTATTTTTCTGCAGAGGTGGAGGATGATGACACAGGCTAATGCTAAGAGCAAGAGTGAAAAATTTCCTCCACCACATCAAGATGGAGCAGTTGGATACCCTCTTAATGCATCACATAATGGCCCTGCATCATTCAGTATAGCTGCTGCTTCTTTTGATTCAAGTTTTGATCCAAAGTCACGATCTTTGAGAAGCACCATAACTACAGGTGGGACGTCGAGGCAGAGGAGAACCAAGAAAGAAGAGCCTCATATGGCTCCGTCTCGCAAACTTTTCCATGCATTCCTTCCTTCTTCTTTTAGACTATCTATAGATATGAGACTGAGGGGTAGAGCTTCCGTCTCAGAGACATTTAGTCACCATAGATGAGAAAATTTCCCAAAGCAATAAATTTTGTGGCTTCAAGGATTTTTGGTTGTTACTGTATTCTATTTTTAAACTTCTGTAATTAAATTATACAACAGTTTTGTGTATCATGTGGATTCTGGGGTTATAATTTACACCTGACATCCATTGTACAGTTGCAAGTCATAATCTCATTGGAGCCTTTAGGTAATCATTTGGTTTCTCATTTTCTTTCTATTTGTATGCGTTGGGTTTTCTTGATCTTAGCTGTTCCGTCTGGTAGCTGCTTGAAATAAGCTCATCACAGTTACAACGCTTAATTTTAGTTTTTATGTGTAGTAAGTAATGCTCAGTAGAGCTGTCCCACGGCTTTGGTCTAGTGATTATGTGTGATAAGTACTGACGCTCAGTCGAGCTGACTCAAAGCTTTGGCTAGTGATATACGTGATGAGTAGGTTAGGGGCACATCACTTGTTGGAATCCTACAGCAAACAATACGTTAATATCAAGTGGGGAAGGGTACTGGTCTCAGATTTCTCTGTTAATTAAAATGAAAACAATGTTCAGTAAGAGTTCAGTTCGTTTAGTTTTGCAAGTCTCATTCTGAGACTGGTGGATTTACGTGGATTCTTGAGAGTTTCAAAGCCAATTCTTCACAAATCGTCAAAATTTCATAGTAGAATGATCCCAAGTTATTCAATAAACAAAAATTTAACAAGTTACACCAAGTGATGTTATTCGAGCCTCTTCAAAAACTGGATTGGCGTTATTTGAGATCAATACATTGTTTTGTAGATTACAAATAATGCAAGCATATATCATATTACATATCACTACAGAGTTTGTTCTCGTGAACCCTCAGCGGTCAAAACTGACAAGTCTTACATAACATTTGGTAACACCAGTGAAAAGAGAGCGCAAGTAAACGGCAAAAATTATTTTCTAACATTTAGCATTTTCTTTTCATGGACAAATTAAACTTCTCAGGATGGTAAATATAGAAGCATCCACTCGCAGGCGGATAAAGAATCAATATCCACATAAGAGGAAATAAAACGCTTAGAACCAGCTTGGCAGTCTTTGTTCCTACCAAAGCTTAAGCAGTTGCAGCCATTGGAACTGATTTTGCTGCTCTGTAACATGCCCTCTTTGCTCCACGAACAATATCTTCAATCTGTACAGACAGATTCAAATATTTCAGAAGGAAAGGAAACTGTTATTAGCGATTCACCAATAAAGGATGAGAAGAGATCTATTTCCAGTGAGCTTCTTGGTTATCCAATGGTTTCCAAGTATTTAGACCTTCAATATTTACGCATATAGAGTTATGTGCATGTTCATGACTAGGTTTCGATTTGGTTATTGACCCGACCAGTTGTTATCTCAACCCATTAAGAATTGAGTTGATATGAAACCCAAATTGATTTTTGAGAAATCTTGTCAATATATGTATATATAATTCTATTAGGTACTAAAAGCTTATAAATAACAAATAAAGCTATTAAACTTGGTAAAAATTGGGCAGGTTGGGTTATGACCCATTTTGGCCTGAACAAATTTTGGTTAGGTTGGGCCTTGACCCATTTATAGTCTAACCCATTTTGACCCACCCAATTGCCACCCCTATTCTTGACCTATTGACTCTTTTTTGGGACATATGATACACTTCATAAACTCGCAGTTGCATACACTAGTATTAATCTCTCAGTATTTTGTTGCAAACCTTTTACCATTTGCTTCTCACTGTGCTTCTCAACTGATAAGATGTCTGCATTAGTTAGTATGATACGATACTAACAATCCTCAGCTCACTCCCTGGATATTTCATTAATCATAAGAACCTATCTCCTGATAGCAAGAATCTCACTCAAGGACATCGTGCGCTGGCATACGGATCCTAGTGACTCATTCTACCAGCTGATCCTATTTCCAGAGTACATCAAACACTTATCTTTCAACATCATTTAGTTATGCCATCATTGCAGAGTGCACACAGATTAACGGCTTATCATGTTCTCTTTTCGCCCTCCACCGACACACACTTTTGGGCTGATAAGGCACCCTTGTCCACCCATTTAAGATTAGTCGTATTTACCATTTTTACCACAAAAACCATAACTAGGATCAAATGAAAACTGCTTCTATTTATCGAAAAGGGAGAAAAAGTTGAGTACTAACCTGTGGAACAGCCATTCTTTCTAGATTTGCTGCATATGGCATCGGAACGTCAGCCCCAGATATCCTCTCAACTGGTGCATCAAGATATTCAAAACTTTCCTCAACCACAGAAGCACTGATTCAAAAGCAAAATATAGTCTGGTAAGCTTAGATGGCTAAAAACAGGTAGGAAGTAAAGCTCTTTCCTGCGTTCTTTTTTGGGGGACAGGGGTGGTTATTGCACGGAATTGTAATAGCATTAGGGGAGGAAGTATGTGGTAAACCAGATCTCAGCTCCAACGCCGTGTTGTGGGAACCCTTCTTCAACAGTTAAAAGCCTGTTGGTTTTCCTCACAGAAGCATTAATGGTGGATCTATCAAGCGGTCGGATAGAGCGCAAATTTATGACCTGTTAGCCCGAATAAAATGGAAAGACAGGATGAGAAGTGAAATGAAAGCTGAAACCTTGAAGCACATTAACAATTTAAAATTTGAAGACAAAACTAGACTATGAACTCTGGAGTCTCACATACCTCAGCACTAATTCCCTCTTTTGCAAGAATTTCAGCAGCCTTCAAAATTCAAACGCATGGAATTGAATGATTGTAGATAGAAACAGTATCATGCTATATAGTTTCTAAGAAATATCTAATACATTACCAAATCAAAGCAATATTTAGTTATTGATGAAAATCAGCAAAAACAAGTGGATCATGAGTTGCAGAACAGGATTAATCAAAGCATTGTATTAAGGACGTGTTACATAGCAAGAATTTAAATCTTCATTTAAGGTAAGTACAGACGAACCTTAAGAGCAGAACCAACCATCTTTGAGAAAGCAGTAATTGTGATATCCTTTCCTTCACGTTCAATCTGCAAATGCTTGTAAAGTAAGGAACAGCAGCAAAATATAAAAGATGCATAGAAGCAATGACAGAAAGCAGGAGCTTGCCTTAGCTTTTCCAATGGGAAGAGCGAAACTAGAATCAAGAACTTCAGCAGAAACAGGGAAAGACTCACCATATCTGCATCATTGAAGTTTCACAATGATGATAAGATATTAGGAGAAAAGTGAACGCACTTGAATAACTAAATTAGCAATGCAACTCACAGCAATTCATTTTCCAGAAAAACAACAGGATCTGGGTCCCTGATAGCAGCTTTTAGCAGACCGCGAGCATCCTCAGACGAGTATGGAGCTAGCACCTTCAATCCAGGACATGCACCAAACCACGCCGCATAGCACTGGGAAGATTATAAAAGGAAGAAATGTTGGACCTGTAGTAATTAAGATGCATATGACATACAAACATGCATACACCTTGATGGCGGGGACTGTAATAACTTGCATGTATGTTTAATTGCTTAAATAACACAACCAAACAAAATGCAGTGAATGATCATGGGAAGAAACCCAAAATTCTGGAGATGCATCTACTGGCACCATCTCATACTTCCTGACTTCCTGTTCCTCGTTCGTCCTCTTTTTTTTTTCCGAAACTGGTAAAATTAAAATTTAGAACAAAAATCATAAGTGAATAATGATGTAAAGTCCAGATGTAGCTCAATAACTATAAACTAGTTATTGGGCAACGATGAACACTTGAAGAGAGATCCAAATGATAGATGAGAAACTCATCTAACATTTTTACTCCCTTCTCCTTTGTTTTCCAGACATGTAACGGTGTCCACCAATTAGATTTGGTGGACACCTGACTATATGTCTGGTATTCCTCCGTCTTCCTCTATTACCGCCAGTAACAATAGAAAATACTGTTTACAAAAGTGAAAAGCGCAAAATATGACAACAGCCATGGAACTTGGAAGCGCGAAAAGCAAGAAATGAAGTGTGCACCTAAGTGAAGCACACTGTTTACGGAAAATTAAAGCTACCAACATACATGAATTTAGTATATAAAATTGCAATAAGAGTAACTAATTCAAACATCCATTGTACAATAATAGCAATTTCCATAGGGTACTTGCTACCTCCCACCACCACGGATCACATCCAGCCTCTTCTCCACCTTTTCCACCACTCCAATTCCATATCTCAAGTTCTTTGTATTTTGCACCCAAAGTTAGACCCAAATATGTAGAGGGCCTGAAGTCTCTAAGGTGTTGTGATCCCTTTCTTTTTGGTATAAGAGCTATGAAGGAGGCATTGTTGGATTTGACGATGTGGCAATGCTGATGGAACTTGGAAGTGGTTGAGAGCTCCTATATATATTACTTGAACGGGATGCACTTGTTGAAAAAGAGTAGTCAAATATCAAATAGGTGTGTAGCTATATATTTAAGCCTTTAATCATTTGTACTGTTTGACCATCATTTAGAAATCTGCTCGACCGCATATTCTCTTTTGGGGGGCTTTAACTCTTCTTAATTACTACTTTTCCTTCCAGAAAAACTCACTCACTAAATAACTACTTCGTAGATTCGTCACCTTCTCAAAGATTCTCAGCTGACCCGAGTTAACAAAGTCTCATTTCTTGTGAATCCATCTCTAAAGATGAACTCTCACCCTTTATAGATCATGAGTACCAATAGCTCTGAGAGGCAAAGATAAAAAAAAAAAAAGATAGGCCGTTCGGAGATATTAAACAAACAAAACAATGAATAAAGACCAAATATTTACTGCATAGCCTTTTGACATTACACGCATGTGATGCTTAGCTTAGTTTAACCAAACTATAAGGAAACTCCAAGTGCAACGTTAGAAAACACAACAAGATACATTTCAGTTCACTGACATACCTGAGAGTGTTGAGCACCTACTCCAGCTGCAGCACCATTAGGACCCCTGAAGACGATGGGGACTGCGATCTGACCGGCAGACATATAATTTGATTTTGCAGCAGAATTGATAATATGGTCAATAGCCTGCATGAATCCCAAAAACATTATACCTTCAGTCATCATTCATAGGTATAAACCATAATCAAGAAATCTAGACAATATAACAATATGTAGAAAAATGATATCAATATGCAGTAACTTCACCAAAATCTCTTAACTGAAATGCTAGTCATGTGTCAGAACTAAAATGTCATGATCTGATGAAGTAGAACCTCTATTGTTTATTCAAAGAGAAAGACTAAAATGCAGCAAGAACATTTGACAGGAGAAAGTAATAACAATCCCCATTCCTCCAAATAGAACAATTGGAGGAAGTTGTTCCTTCCAATTTGGAAGAAAAACAAGCCCAGTAAAGTTGTACATTATTTGGCCAACAATTACTTTGCTGTACAGCCTGTGGGCCAATCCAACTTCCAATTTGAAGGAAACAAGCCCAATAAAGTTACATACATAATACGTTTGACCAACAATTACTTGATCATAAGCCTATGTGCCAACCCAGCAACTCGCGATAAAGATACAGTTACATGCATCTTAGAGCTATATATTACCACAAGAGACATCAGATTCTTGTGACCACAATGACTGAACAGAGTTCAATATAAACAGGGACCTTGTAGTAAATTCCTAGTTTTTTAGTTCAATATACAATATAAACAAGGACCTAGTACTAACTTCCTCGTTTATATTTAGTACCGTCGTGTTATATTCAGTTCAGACCGCAGTTCCTCCAACTTTAGACAAACTTAACACAATAATGTTCTAGTTGTGTTGATAAGGCATTCTTCTTTGCAAGCTTTTAATAACTGAAGTAATGATGGGCATCCATTGCCCCTGAGGAAACACAAGCAGAAGAAAATGTTCACTAATGCAGTCCAACCCCGAGGCTGAGAGACAAAATACCAAAATCACCTTTTGTCCTCAAAGATTACAACCTAATTTTCCCTCCCACTTTAACATTTCCTTTAGATTTTTTGCACTAAATTTAATACAATCTGCACAAGATAGAAAATACAGAAATAACAGGCAATATCATCTCAAATTATCAATCCAACAAATTGATCATGACATAATCCCAGTGTAATGAAGAGCAAAAAGCGCAAAAAAGCTCTAAGGTATGTTGGGTCTTTAAGCGCAAAGAGCAAATAAAGTGTGTGCTTCAACGAAAAAACTCAAAGGAAAAAAGATATACATATATATTTAGTCCAAGACTAATAATTACAAGCATGAATGACAAATATATGAACAAAGAAAATGGAAAAAAACAATAAAGTGAAAATTGTTTAGTGTTGCCTATTCAGAAGAGGCTCATTAACAAGTAGAGTATGCCATAAAACATTGACAACTAAAGCACACATTAAGCTATGCGAAGCGCTCAAGAAGTTTTGAGCCTCGCTTCAGGGCTTAAGCGTGCCTTTGACAAAAACAACAATCCAACGTCTTGCAAGTTACTTGTGCTCAACTATATCATACAACATCTCAACAAGCTAAACATTAGCAGTTGACTAATACAGACAGCTACCACATGTGGGCCTCTGGCAATGATATTGGTGGATGGTTTTTGCATATTTATGTTCAAGGAAATAACTAATAAATATTATTAACAGAACTCAGAAGAACAAAGCATCTGAGAGAACAGAAATCTGACCTGCATTGAAAAGTTGAAAGTCATGAATTCTATAACAGGCTTCAAACCATGGTAAGCAGCACCAACTCCCATTCCAGTAAATCCAGCCTAGAAAACAACATAAAAAAATGTTATGTAGTACCTTAACATATAAATTCATCCACAACAGCAGCTAATTAGTATTTGAACCCCAAGGATCTACCTCAGTAATGGGTGTATCAAGAACTCTTTGTGGACCATATTTATTCAACAGCCCTTTGGTAATCTGATGACAGATGCAAAAGAAGAAAAAAGGTGAAGAACAAAGAAACTCAGATTAAAAGAATAAATCGGTAGCGAATACAGGATTAAAGAGCAAGCTTGAGAAAAAAAAATCAAGGTGAGAAAAGAACATCTAACCTTATAGGCTCCTTGGTATTCACCAACCTGAATGACACATAATAATTAAAATTACAGGTCAATTTTTCACGAGAAGAAATAGCAGAAGCATGTAATTTGCTAGTGTTTACGCAAACCTTACCCCTGCCTCGAGAGGTAAAGAAAATTTGAACAAAAACAAGAAAAAGAAAATCATTTATACCTCCTCTCCCATTATAAAGACCTTTGGATCCGCAGACATTTCTTCATCCAGAGCAGAATTCAAAGCATCACGGACAGTCATCTACACAAGTTTAAAGCAATGACTTTTTTTCTATCAACCTAACTAAACATCAAATAAGCAAACTGAAGTGCAAAAGAGAATTGAAAAATTACCTCTTTAGTTGCTGAAGAAAAATTTCTAGATGCAAATACCCTGCTTCCCAACAGGAACTGATTCATATTCTGAAACCCAAAAAAAACAAATAAAACCATTTTTTCATTATTCGTAAACAAAAATATCAAAATCAACTGAAAAGAAAAAAGATCAAAACTTGTTCATATCTCACCAAAGCAGAAATGCCTCTGGTAGCCATTTTTCGATTTATAATCCCAGACATATCCGCTTCCTTGTAGCTATCAAATTCCCTATTGACAACCAAAACCAACAGATAACACACCGATTTTCCAAATCAATTACACTGAAACGTTCATCAGATCAATAAGAAGAACATATATATCAATAAATTCGATCTGATTAATCGATATTATACCTGTAGATTAGGTGTTTGGTGGTGGCGGGCGCGAACAATTAGTCGAGAGTGACAAAATTGGAAATGTGAGAGAGGCACGCTAACTGCGGCTTTTTCCTCTTTCTTCTTATTTTATTAATCAGAATAAATAACCTCTCATTGGCCGCCTGCCATAGTTAAAAAAAAAAAATAAGCATCATATAAAATTGTAAAATGAGTAAAATTTAGCGTTGTTTATATTAAATTAATATATGTTCGTAGTGGGTTTAAATTTATAGCTTATTTTATATTATTAAATTACGTGATAATAAAAATTATATTAATTTGATATAAATATTTACTGAGAATAATATTTTTCCTTGTAAAATACTAATTTATTTTTACTTTCTGATTGTTAGATTACATGAATTATGATATTTATGAACAGAGAAATATGATAAGTAATATGAAATATAATGATAAGTGTAATTATAATTATTTAAATTTAAAATTAATATTAAAATAGTTCAAGTAATAATTTTTTATATTTATGTTAATACCTTTATAATTTGATTCACAATTAATACTTTTCTAAATTTAATGTGTGTCGTAGATGATAATATTTTTCTACAAATGCACCTTATAGCATAGCTTAACAGTTTATTTGTGGGAATATATATGATAAAGCTTGACATGTGTTATTAGTTACCTAATTTAATATTAATTACGGAGCGATTGAAAATTCTTCACATTTTTGTAGGAATGTTTAGATTGGGCTCTTGAACTTCAGAAGGGTTATTGTACATCCTACCAAATATCCCTTTAAGATACATTAATTAAGAATAATATTTATTGAACCCTTAAATTATTCAATAATTGTATCTATCAAACAGAAAATGTTGATGTAGCCAAAAAAAATTAAAATATTTCACTTTTGTTGGCTGTGTGTTCTAAAATGAGTTTTTTTTCGGCTGATTATTTTTCATTTTTATTAAATTTTAAATAATTCTTTTACTACTTATTTTGAGTCTTTATGACACGTGTCATTGTTTATTTGTTGATCTTTCATAACATCGTCGTGTGATATACCTACCTAACCTTTTGTAGATTGATTATTAATTTGAGTTTAATATGTATAAATTTGTTAAGATTAAATTGTTTGATAGATACTAATTTTAACTATATTATCTAATTGAGTTGTACGGAAAATTTAAGATATCATTTGATTACTTTAAGATTGTTTTTTAGAAAAAACTATGCGGATAAGGAAATATATACGGCGCACAACTTACTTTTAGTTGTAATTATATCGCATATACATATACAAATATAAATTATATATATATATACACACGCAATTAGAAGAGAAACATACAAATACAATTAGTCTTTCTTCGCTCTCTGTCCTCTCTCGCTCGCCTCTCTCATTCTTGCTTGTCATATATACAAATACATATGTATATTTGTTACATATATATAATTTTATGAGATATATACATATATAGTTCGTCTCTCTCAACTCTCCACACTCTCACGCTCACTCATATGTATAGCAGATACATATATACACATAATTTGACAAATACAAATACACAGTTTGACAAATATACATATACAATTTGTCTTTCTCCACTCTTTTTCCTCTCTCGGTTGCCTCTCTCCTCCCTCTAACATGTACCTACGGATCGTAATTAGCAAACTATAACTGTGAAATATAATTAAGTTTATTTTTGAGTGGCTATATGCAAAAATTCTCATTGCTTTTCCTATATATGTTTATAACTCGTGACTCAATGAGCACAAGAAAATCCAATAAACTTGCCAATCTTTTTCTTGTAGTAACTTTTTAAGGTGGACTTAAGTATGTTGAAAAGAGCTTCTCGAGGAAATTATTACAGGGGAACTTTCACATATAGCCACTAAAAATAGCCCAATTACTCTTTATAGTTATAGTTTGATAATTGCAATTCGTAACTTCATGTTACAAGGAAGAGAGAGACGAGCAAGAATGGGAGAGAAAGGAGAGAGGAGAGAGGCGAAAAAGAGCATAAAATGGGAGAGAGGTGAATTGTATATGTATATTGGTTAGATTATTGTATATTATACATATTTATTCGTATATATAGCAAGCAAGATTGGACGAGAGAGGAAAGAGGAGAGCGAGATTGAGAGAGGAAGGAGAGCAGCGAGCGATAGAGGGCAAAGAGTGGGAGAGAGGTGAATTGTATATGTATATTGGTTAGATAATTGTATATTATACATATTTATTTGTATATATAGCAAGCGAGATTTGGAGAGAAAGAAAAGAAGCGAGTGAGATTGAGAGAGGAATGAGAGAGGCGAGCGAGAGAGGGCATAGAGTGGGTGAGAGATGAATTGTATATATATACTAATTAGATAATTATACATATACAAATGGGGTTAATTGTACAAACTCGAAATCAATCCACATAATTAATGTATAATGTTAGTCGTGAGTGATAATTATAGCAAACTATAGCTATAATGAGTAATTAAATAGTATAAGTTTGTTAACTACGTAATTTTTTCATTATTATATTGGGCTTCCCCACAAGGCCGTGCAATTATCTAATCGATAGGTCCAAGTAACGATAATACAGGCCTTGAGATTCAATCGGGATCAAATCAAACCCATATAGTTGAACTAATTAAATAACGAAAACAACTCCCCATCTAGTAATTACTTTTGAGGAATTGACACATACATACAATTACTGTATACAATTGGCAATATGTAGTCCGTTTAATTAGCAATTAATAATCCTAAAAAGAAGAAACATGTAATAGCCTAAAAGAAATATAACAACTTTTTATAGTTTTTTTAAAAAAATCAACAACCAATCAGCATTAATTAAGGAGATGTGATATTATTTTTCTTCCTTATTTTTATCTCCTATAATTAAGGAAGTTAGCTTTTAAGTTTCTTTAAAGGGAAAAAGGTTACAAATACCCCTCAATTTTAATTTATTGGTTAATTTTATCCCAATCGGTAAAATGAAGTCATTTATACCTCCAAACTAACGGTTATCCTAAATCGATCCCAAATTTTCAATTTCAATTAAAATATCTATTTAAAATTGGTTCTCTCATTTAATTTAAACCCGATCCACTGAATCAAATAACATTGATGAGACTTCAAAGTTGAAGCTTTCTTCCGCAATGTGATAAAAACAGAGATATGTCCAACTGAATATACATAAACCAACAAAAATGAAAAAGTAGCATTAGCGGAAATGAAAAAGCTACTGCCATGGTACAAATTGTTTTTGCATAGATGTCATGAAATAAATGAGAAAACACCATTAGAGTATTTGATGGTGTTTTCTTGTACTCCGACAATCCTCGACTCTTAAGCGATCTCAACGTTGACAAATACAACTGTAGATTCACATCTTTTCCTGGCAAAGCTGACGACCAAAAAGCAAGAGGCCAAAACCCTTCTGCCTCATTGTTCCGCCCCATCTTTTACACTATATTTTCTTCCATATTCCCTGCTTTCAATATTTCAATTTTCTTTTATCTTGGAAAACCATGTTCGTAATCGACAGAAAACATCGTTTCAAATCAATTTGTGCCGGTTTGGTGGAATCGAAGGAAAAGTAAGAAGACCGGAACCTGCACTCGTCGGAATCATAGAAAAATTAACAAAGAAGAGAAAGAGAACGAAGAGAGTTATCTTTAACGGAGTCATTCTGGTAACCTTTTTGATGGAGCATCAAGAATTCATTGTTCAAGTTGTTGAGAGAAAGATAAGAGATGGGTTATAGGTCGGATCGGGTTTGACTATGAATAATTGGGTTGATTTTTATAGATTTGGATATTTCCATCTAAACAAGGGTATATATATGACACGTTTGCTAACGATGAGGGTATTTTATCGGTAAGGGTAAAATCAACCAGTAAATCAAAGTTGCTGAAAAATATTTTTGACCCTTTTCCCTTCTTTAAATTCTCAAACTCAACTTTATCATCACTCTATTTTTCAAATTTTTTTATTAAACACAATTTACAACAACTTAAATATATATTGGATTATTCGTAAGCAATAAAATCAAAAGTTTGACGTTTTAAATAAAGTAAAATTTACGAATAATAAAGGGACTTATATTTATTTATTTATTTATCCTCAAAAGTCCTAAATAAATATTACTATTGTCTTTTCAATAATCAAATAATGGCGTTCTGTAATTTTGACAAATGTCAAAAGACTTTTCATATTCCCAAGTGCATTGATTTGCATGCACATAGTTTTGTTCAAATCGATTACAACCGGTTACACCAATCCAACTTGACCTCTCAAAATGAAACACACCAAATTCTACCATCACATTATTAACACCTTTCTACTTAATTCCTTTATTTAAAATATAGAACTAAATATTAGATTAAGAAATGCAAATTGGTTACAAGTACGTGGTATTGTGAATCTTTATTATATATTTTAGTAATAAAGTTTGTAATTGAATAAACTTATGATCTTGTAAGCATGTAACCATGGATAATTTATATGATAACTTGTGTAATCAAATAAGCTTGTATAAATACATATAATCTTACGCTTTTATCATCTTACCAGCTTGAAGTTGAATACACACAGAAGTCTCTATCAAATGCCATTAATTTTATATCATTTAATGTTTAAAGCAAATTATTATGATCATTTTATCAGTGACTAGTGTAAATGTAAATAAAAGAAACTTCAAATTTTCATAATTTTAGCGTTGGATGTTAGTTTTGGATATAGAAAAATTCTATTTCACGTTTCATACCTCATTTGAACTTATAAATACCTATAATTACTCATTCGAACTAACACACATAATTCATTAAATCATCAGAAACGGCCACAAAAAAGTTTGGTCAAAAAACTATATGCAATCAATGTATGCCTCTCTTGAAGGCAAATAATGTATACTACCATATCTTTTAGTACGTAATGAATTAGGTTAGCCATGACTAATGAAAATTGTAGGTCAATGAGTTTTCTTTCTAATGCTACATATTTTATATCATTTAATGTTTAAAATAAAATATTATGACCATTTTACTTGAGACCAGTGTAAATAAAAGAAACTTCGGATGTTCATAATTTTGGTTTTATAAGTTTGTTTCAAGTATAGAAAAACTCTATTTCATGGTTCGTACCTCCTTTGAACTTATAAGTACCTATAATTGCCCATT